GTAAGGTGTAAAAAAAAAAAAAAGAATTAAAAAAAGAATTTAACCGATTAATCGAATCGTGGTGTATTCTTGAGTATCGAAAATAATCGAATCGTTGGGTCAGGAAATCGATACTGAATCGAATCGCCATGATGGATGTGATTTACACCCCTAGTGAAAGGTGTAACACTACTACTGTACAAAAATTGCCCCTACTGAGACAAATAAAAGCTGCTGAACTGAACTGAACTGAAACCAGGAGGACATTTTTAGTTTTTAATGTTTTACGGATAATTATATATTGTGGTTTTACATGAAAGATTTTTGGATGTATTAAACAACAGTTGGGTTGGTCTATAACAAAGTAAAAGTGCGCTGGTTCAGAGGTGGAACCACTTACAGCTCAGAGTGAGAGGTGTGAGGTCGATGGAGACGTCATGCTGTTCACTGGTCAGTTTGCAGCTATGACTCTCCAGGTAGTCTCTGTGACAGGCATATTCAGTCACCCACTCCACCTCATACCGGCAGTTTGACTCTGCAACCATCTTAGGGGTGCTGCCCTGAAATGAGAAAGAAGAATTAGGAATCATCTAGAAATGTGAAAACCAGATTAACAGCTGATAAGTTAGAAGGTTTAGTGGTCTGACAAACCAAATGCCTGTTTGATGGACAGATGAAAGTGATGGTGACGGTGGGCCGGTGTTGTCCACATCTCTCTGGAGGCGTCGAGTCGGCACTTAATTCATACCGTAACCTCAAACTGGACGGGAGAAGAAAACAGGAATTGTAGTCAATCATTTTGAACAGTTTAATAGATGAATCATCCAAAAATCCATAGAAAATACTTTCATTGTTAGTTTTAACAAACAGCAGAACTTAATGCATTGAGGTTTTGCATGGACAAAAAGGTCACCTGTCACTGGACACCGCCTCCAGCGGCCTGCTGGGGGCGCCCATGCTGAAAGAGCCATCTTTGGTGATGAGGCAGGCTGCAGAGTCCTCTGGACAGGATGTAGATAGAGAGTCTGGAGGAGAGCAGAGGTGAGGGTCAGATATATCAGAGGTCATCGATGTGATCAGCTCACTTTGAAAAGCAGCTGATAAATTCATCATTTACACTAGTAGTAAAAGTCCTACCAGCCTTGTTTGTAACACTGATTATTCTCACATTGATTAAAAGGAGTTCAGAAGGGTCGAATATTTTCCTTAAGCAGGAAACTTGTTGCATAATTTAGAGGACTAACATTGGATTTGCATATTTAAAAAAGACAGTTATCACACTTTGGAAACTAAATGAAAATATGGCAACTAGTCATTAAGGGGATAAAGAATTAAACTATTAGTGTAATATTATTTGATAGTAAAAAAAAAAAAAAAAGAAGAAGAAAAAAAAACAAGTATGACATATATAAATATGCGATACTCAGAAAAGAAATACGGGAAAAAAATAAAAAGTTAACTAAACTT